GTAAAAACACACAAGCACATCATCTATTAGTGAGTCTTTAGTAATAGTAAAATTACATGATATAAAGGGGTTGCTTTGAAATAAATTTGTTTACAATTGTTATCAGTAAATGGTTGATTTATATAGCTATTTTAAATCCTATATACCTGGGTGGGGAGGGTCACTTAAAGATATCTGGGTGGAAAGGGGCACAAATGGGGAAAGTTTAGGAAGCCCTGGACTGGAACATGCCCACCCTTTTGAGTACGTAAGGGCAGCACCAAGGGCTACTTGAGATGTGCTTCTCTCTGCTCAGGAAACTTTTAACAGTGGTGTGGGCTGATCCAGAAACCAAGTTTGGAGGCCTCTCTGAACTTCCACATTCTTTTTTAAAAAGTTTGTTATTTTTATTTTATGTGTAGCGTGTATTGCCTGTGTGTACTAAGTGCACCCGTGTCGTGCAGTGCCCGTGGAGAACTTCCACATTCTTACTTTTGTTCAGCATTACTTCACATCAATAAAGAAATGTTAAAATTGGAAGGCATTAAACCCTTTCACCAAAGACAGTCACTCCCTAATCCACAAAATCAGTGAGAAGATTACTTTAAATGTTTATTTTATTCTCTCTGTGTGTGTGTGTGTGTGTGTGTGTGTACATATGCATACGGTGGTCAGAAGACAACTGTAGAGAACTGATTCTTTCCTTACATAATGGGTTCTGGGAATCGAACTCAGGTCCTCGGGCTTGACCAGGCTTGCTCAACAGTGACTTTCAACCCTGGGCCATCCAGCTGGCCCCGAAAATATTATTTTACACAGCTAAAGGAGCTTGGCAGGACTGATAATAGGTAAGAATCTTGAGATAGAGGATCAGACTGTCAGCTAACCAAACAGCACCTGTGGCCCTCATTTTCCTCAGGTGGGACTCCTTCACAAGAGCAGCCACAACAAAAGAGGGAGAAGGGGAAGGAGGAAGGGGAAGAAGGGAGAGAGGGGAGGAAGAGGCAGGAGAAGGGGGAGGGCAGAGGAGGGGAAGACAAGAGGAAGTACAGGAGGAATGGAGAGGAAGAGGATGGGGGAGAGGAGCAGGAACAGAGGGGAAACAGGAGAACAGGCGGGGAAGCACAGGAAGAGAAACAGGAAACGGGGCGGGGGGACACGAAGAGAAACAGGGAGGGAGGCAGCAGAGGACAGGAAGAGAAACAGGAAATGGAGGGAGCGGAGGACAGGAAGAATGGAAGAAAAGGAGGAAAGACAAGAGGAAGAGAGGTAAGAGGAGGGGAGGGGAAGGGGAATGGGCTGACTCATGGTAGTCAGGTGTGCCGTGGCATAGATCCATCAGGATGAAGCCACATCTCTAAAACATCACCAGGGCCCAGTTTTCGACTTCCTGAGACATCACCTCCTTGCGTTTGACTTCAGATGGGTGTCCCCTTCCCTGTGGGAGCTGTCATCTCACGGGCATAGGCTACGAGGGAAGGAATAGCCTGTTCTGGTAATTCCCACAAAGTTCTTTCATGTTAGGCCAGGGGTTCAACTGGAGCCATCACTGTGGCCAGAAGGCAATGGGGTGGATTTCTGTTCATCTGTGCTCACCACTAGCACTGCCCCAAACCAGGGATGAAGTAGTGAGAGGCAGGCAGGTTTTCCGGAAGATCAGATGGGTGCCGGGTAACTCAACCCTTTGTTTTGTTGTTTTGAGACAAGAGTCTCACTGTGTAGCTGTGGCTGGCCTAGAATTCACTGTGTAGACCAGACTGGCCTCACACTCACAGGAAGGTCTGCCCAGCTGTGCATCCCGAGTGCTTGGATCAAAGGCATGCAGCATCACACCTGGGTTCCCCTCTGTTACTTTTTGAGACTGAGTCTCACTTAAGTTGCCTTTTGCCTTGAAGTCACTCTGCAGGCAATTCTTGAACTTCTGATCTTCGTGTCTCTCCTGAGTAGCTGGGATTCTAGACCTGTGCTACCAGGTCCAGCTTAAATATTTTTTAAATGTTCTATGCTAAAAACACACCCAAAATTACCCCCCCACACACACCTTTTAAAAAATATTTTATTATTTTTATTTTATGTGTTATGAGTGTTATACCTGCATGTAGGTAAGTGCACCTGTATCATGCAATGCCGGAGGAGGACAGAAGAGGCTGTCAGATCCCCTGGAACTGGAGTTACAGACAGTTGTTAGCTGCCATGTGGGTGCTGGGAATCGAACCTGGGTCTTCTTCAAGAACAGTCAGTGTTCTTAACTGCTAAGCCATCTCTCCAGCCCCTATATGCTTCTTTTTATGGCCTTTACTCTAAGAACAAAATCAAACTTTTCCTTATAACTATAATGATCATTAATACTATCAACTGCTAATAAACTTTAAAGCTTGCTTTATAGTTTTTAAATATAATTATTTATTTGAGGGCTTGGGTTTTAAAGATAAATTTACTTTTATTTTATGTGTTTGCCTTCATGTATGTGTACTGCTGTGTGCCTATCCAAGGAAGCCAGAAGAGGGTCCTGGATCCCCTGGAACTGGAGTTAGGGATGGTTGTTAAGCCCACCATCATGTGGGTACCAGAGTCCTCTGCAAGAGCAGCCAGTGCTCTTAATTGCTGAGCCATCTCTCCAGTCCCTTCCTTGTTTTAATTAATAGTCTATTGGTTATTTTTTTAAGATTTATTTTAATTATGTGTATATGTGTGTGGGTATGTGCATGTGTGAATACAAGTGCTCTCAGAGTCCAGAAAAGTGTGCTGGGCCCCTTGGAGCTAGAGTTCCGGGTGGTTAGGAGCCACTGAACTTAAGTCCTCTACAAGAGCAGGACATGCTCTTAATTGCTGAGCCACCTCTGCAGCCCTCACTAGTTATTTTTTGCTGACTTTCCATTATTTTGTTTAATTTTGATCTAGATCTGTGGTGGAGCATGCGTGCCTCCCTCTGTTTTCTGAGGTTTATCTCCAGCTTCGTTTTCTCTGAAATTGTCTTCAGGTCCTTCTGAGTTTTTAAGCAATCATATTATTTTCACTTAAAAATACTACTGAGATTTCATCATTATGTAAAATAGATTTATAGTTCCAGGCTATTTCCTGGCTGCGTGGAGAAGTCAGGTTAGTTAAGAGAGCGCTATTGTTAAAAAGGTGTTTATTTAAAAAATCCCCGATCCTACTGTCCCTCCATGTAAACGTCACATCTCAGAGCAGTTAGTCTTCGACACAGAATTCCAAATCGATGGATCATTTTATATACTTTGTCTATAATGGAATCCACTAGATAACAAAAGTACACGGATAGATGGGCATGGAGGAGAGCTGAACTCTGCATCTTCCTGGAGTGTCAGGTAATCGTGGGCATGCTGAACACAGGCAGCCTTTGGTCTCCACAAGGATGCTTTTCTAAACACCTGAATGAAAACACAGACTCTGCGGAGTGCCTGTCTGAAACAGGTTGCAGCTTGCTATGGGCCTCACCTGTGGGCTCTCAGCAGTGTATGTAGGGCACACCAGGTTAGAAGGGGACCTTGCACAACACGCTGTATGAAACAGCTCAGTGAGAAAAAATGTCCTGCAAGTCTGACCTCATCTGAACCGAGCAGAATGTGGCTGAGTGCAGTCTGTCCCCTCCACAGCCAGATATACTACGAGGGGGGGGGGGCGGATGAGCATTTAAAAACAGAACCATTACCTCAGTGTGAACTGCTGATTGAAGGAGACATGGTTCTAGATTACCCAAAGCTGCAGATAAACTTCAGTCCCTAGTAAATGTCTCAGGCTGGGAGGAACATTGCCTAAAACATGTCTATGGTGAATTTAAGCATTAACTGTAGTTCTAAGTTTTTTTAACCAATACCAGGCTAGATGCTGCTGTTAAAATAAAGAAGACAGCTGGGCGTGGTGGCGCATGCCTTTAATCCCAGCACTCAGGAGGCAGAGGCAGGAGGATCTCTGTGAGCTCAAGGCCAGTCTGGTCTACGTAGTGAGTCGAGGACAGCTGGGGCTACAGGGAGACCCTGTCTCAAAAAGACCAAAAATAAATAAATAAAAATAAATAAATAAATAAATAAAGACAGAGATCTATAACATAGGTGACACCCAATCAGTTAAGAGAAACATAGATTCCATAACAAAAAAGGATTTTGCTTCATCTCTGCAACGTATAAAGCCCGTTTCCAGCTTGCTGGAATGTTCTACAAATTTGAGGTTCACACTGTTGGTTAGACACACTGGTCTGTCTAACCTCTGATGATCACAACAGTAGTCATTTCGTTACCCTAGAAACCTTGAGACGCTGGACATACAAAGGCTGGAGACTATGTAAAAGGTACTTAGACTCAATTGCCCAGGCAATCAACCTAATTATCTACAGTCCACAATGCAGGAAGTCAGCCTGATGTCAGTCAGAATGCAGTCCGCTGCAACCATCCAGAAGGTTGGTAACTGATCCAGGACTTGGTTAGTAACTGATGTTGGCCTGACTTTATACTGGCTAGCCAGTCACAGAACAGGCCTGCTTCCAGTGAGAGCTGCCCACACAGGCTCTGTCCTGAAGCCCTATGCAACAGCAAACTCTAATACACACTACAAAACAGAAAGTTTCTGATTAAAAGCCAGTTTTTTAAAAAAAAATCTACTTGACTACTAGCCTGTTGATTATTTTCCACACGATGCAATGCACCTAGCTCTAAGATATTCTGAGGGTTTGGGGTGTTTTTTTTTTTTGGTTTTTGTCTTTGTTTTTTCAGCATTTATTAAGGAAAATGAGAAAGCACTCCTCAGAGCAGGAGGCTCCAAAGGAAGAAGGTTCTGATTTCCAACACAGCTTCCTTACCACCATGCATTATTTCAGATAAAAATATTACAGACATAAAAACGCCATATATAAACTTATAATTTATCTGCAAATGCTAAAACTTAAGGATAGGAATTATTCAATCACATTTATACAAATTAATGTCTAAGAGGTGGAAGCTTCTAAGGGTAGCCATTGAGTATTGAAAAGAACTCAGAAGTAACATAAGCGTATCACAGTGGGATGCATTTGGTAATTAGATTTATTTAAAAAAATAATGAGTAGCAAGTACAACCTTTAATCACTAGAATTTCACAGGCTGTTCAAGTATTTGATTTTTGGCTTACGATAATTAAATATAAACCACTGCTTTCAATAAATTTTTTCAACCTGATGCAAAAAAAAAAAATCACACTTGATTTAATAACATTCATTTAATAATTTAACTTCATAAAACATCAAAAGTGAATTATTATATTGTAAACATGATCAAAATAAATCAGGCTATGAAAAAAAGGAAGCCCACTAGGATCCTCAAAGCAGCACAAATATCACCTCCTCAGGGGCAAATGCATCACAAAAAATCACCAAAATGATACTAACGGAACCAACCGGTCGGCTACAGAAGGGTATAGAGAAGACGGTTTGTAAAGGGACGGTCCCTGGAAGCTTGCAGCACTGAGAGTCCCTGGGACTGTTTGCAGGGCTCAGTCGTGGTCCGTCCAGTCAGGAGGTCCCGCACTTGGAAGCAGCCCCTGTGGCAGTTCTGGAATGCAGTCAGGACTGCCCCTTCAAGGGTGCTGTATCAACGGTGCACAAGAAAAGTGCATTAGTGATCCCCACGCAAAGCTGTTCTCCATGCTCCCACCCTGAGCTCACTCTGGGGCTCTGCATGTTCACCCACATCAGGGCAGAGACGCCTCGGAGGTGACGGTGCAGCTACTTTGCAAATAGTGATGCCCGCCCTCAAGGTTAGACACGTGCACACACGAGTGTGTGCGTGCGCGCATATGAGCACACACACATACACACAAGCACATATACATATAAGCTCGTGTATTCAAATGTGGACATACATACTGTACACACACATGCTCACACGCATACACACACAGCTCACCGCTGCCTTCAAAGCTTGATCTAGATCCTCCAGCAGGTCCTTTTCATCCTCTAAGCCCACGGAGAGCCGGATCAGTGTCTCACTTATCCCAAGGGTGGCTCGGTCATTCTCAGGCACAGATGCGTGGGTCATGGTTGCCCTGAAAGTCAATGTGAATGAATTCAGTCACTGTATCATGTCAGGGGAGGCATATTTCTGGTTAATATGGTGCAATCATCTTCAAGTTTTTTTCTGCTCGAAACATCACATTTTTATACCCTTATATTTTTTTCAAAGGCAAAATTGACAAAATTTGACAAAATAATTGTCAAAAATAACTCTTCCAGCCATGATTTTAAGTGAAAACCAGAGCTTAAAAAAATGCTACATATACCATTCAGGCATATGTAGTTACAAGGCACCAGAACAGAAGCTAAAGGTAGCACCAGGAGGGACAGGCCAGCCTCCCTTGTATAGATCTGACCATCTGCCAGAATGAGGCTTCGGGTGACACCAGTGGCCAGCTGGGTAGCCATTTACAAGAAGCCTGTTGGATCAAGAGCCGGCATAATCAATTCCCTGTAGATAAATGGATTAATTTAGAACTGGCCCTTCAGAAGCAGGTCCAGGAGAGACAGTCCTGGACCACTATTAGCCAACAGCAAGCATCAGGAATTCCAGTGTATGACCCATGGCAAAGAGGCCTAAAGAATTTTCCAAACTAATTGCAAACATCATCATTGGTCAACATAAAAGTAAAGCACCCATCAGGCACTGTGAAAGAACTGAGAACCAAAACCACCTTAGAGAGGGAAAGAAGAGCTGAAGATCGACACGCTATAAAGCAGAGTCACCTAGAGGGTCCCACAGAGGGAGTGTAAGAGGACGCTGGGAGTCCAGAGGAAGGGTCTGGAGGGACTGCGGCCATGGTGGGGAGGCTCAGTCTTACCCAGCGCCAGCACGTGAACTCCACCAACAAGCCTCTTTCCCTGCCCTTGGCCAGAGAGTCGATGCTGAAGCTTTGTCCTGCTTCACCCAGACCCACATGGAGGAGCATTTCGGCTGTGGTCTCCATAGACCTGGATCTCCTGCCATTGCTCTAAGAAGTTTGGTTTTCTTTCATTTTTTATTTATTACTTTTTATTACTGTATATTCGCGTGTGCATGATTGGGGGGGGGTGAGTGCCCTAGCATACATGTGTAGTTCATAGGAAACTTTCATGGAATTGGTTCTCTCCTTCTACCTTGATGTGGGTTCTGGGGGTTGAACTCAGGCCGCTAGGCTTAACAGCACGTGCCTTTACCTGCTGAGCCATCTCATAGGCCCTCTAAGGAAGTTTTTACGTACTAACATGCTCCTAAAACTGCCCTGCTCAGCAGGCTCTCACTTCCCTAAAGGACCATGCACAAGTCAAAACAATCCTGGATCTCAGAGAGCAGTGAACTCGGGTATGAATGGTATTTCAGTGCCAGTGAGATGGCTCAGTGGGCAGAGGCACTTGTCATGAAATCCTGGTGGCTTGAGTTTGATCCCTGGAACCCATGTAAAAGGGAAAGGAGAGAACTGACTTTACAAGTTGTCCTCTGACCTCCATATGCACGCATACTGGCACACCCACACCCACACTCATACATCATGCACATACTCAATAATAATAAATAACTTTAAAAAAATTGCATTCCAAGCCTGGCGTGGTAGTGCACACCTTAAATCCCAGCACTCGGAAGGCAGAGCCAGAGGGCTCTCTGTGAGTTCAAGGCCAGCCTGGTCTACATAGTGAGTTCCAGGCCAGCTGGGGCTACAGGGAGACCCTGTCTCAAAAAGACTAAACAAGAAAGAAAAAAATTGCATTCCTGCCACACACTGGCTTTCCAGTCACCTGACCTGAGCGCCTCTTCCCTAACTGGAGGAACAGGCCCACGTTCTATGAGGGGTTTGTATGAATCCTCTGATTTTTTTTAAATGGGTAAAAATTGCATGTAACTTCTATCTTAAAAGTTTTTCACAGGCATTAAAGTACATAAAGTTACTTCCCTACAGAATACTAAATAAGTCTGGGCAGGGGGCTGTGAGGGTTCAGAGGGAGGCTCTTTGTGGACTGAGCACGGTGGAGGGAGATTTAGTTCTATTTAGTCCTAAAGCATGAGACAAAAAAAGGAAAAAGATGCAGGAAGAAAGGGAGGGA